TATTTATCAAATATTAAGAACTTTAAAACTTTATGTCAAAAATTTATCAAGAAACTAATAAAATATTATAATCCGATACGACATCATCGTCGAAAATTTAGAAAGATATACACAGAAAAAAAGGTTTTACTAAAATATGTAAAAATTTATAGTTAGCTATACACATGAAAATAATAATGTTGGAACATCAAAATAATTATGTAGGTTACTCGAGCATAATAATGTTGCAAAAAGTTTCGACATATTTGCAACTAGTTTGTGTGTACATAATTAGAATTATTTATTTGAACGAACATAATTATTTTTTTACTTATTTTCAGCTAAATTTTTAAGTACTTTAACAAGACCATTCCCTGCATTTCATGAACTTCTGTGTGCTTACATATAAGAAATACATAAGAAAATAGTTTTAAGAATAAAGAGGAAATCATGGCCACCGTTCTATAGCATAAATTGTTGTTGCTAAATTGAAGTATTCTTTATACTCGATCGTGTCCTTCGTAATATCGTTAACAAACTGCCCGCCTGCTCCATAATTGGAAAAACATTGGAATTGATGATTCCTCATTGGTAGAGACTGAAAATCATATGAATATTTCATAAACTTTAACCTGTAAAATTTAAACCGTTATTACGGTTATAATTAAAATTTATTACTTTAATTTACTTTAAATTAATAATTATAAATACTCATTTTGACGGGAGCGGAGAGATATAATTACAATAAAATTAAGGAAAACGCCGTTAAATGGTCTAGATCTTGGTTGCCTAATAACAATATTCGCGTGAATTTATGTACAATTTGTGTTACACTAATGACTTGTGTTAGTGTAATTAAATTAACTATATCAGTATATTCATGTGATGTTACTCTTCAGTTTAATTGAGACTACGTTTTAAGACCAAAAGTAATGGCGCGCAGTTTGCTAGAACGATGAATTGTACATAAAGTACGCGAATAATATTATTAAACCGATCCCTGACAGTTTAACAACAGTTTTCTTTAATTTGATTGTACATCATATGCGATCGTATCCCACTTAGTTATTGCATTGATATAATTACACTAGTTAATAAATAAGAAATTAAGATTTCTAATTAATGATAGTCCTTGTTGGCGATAGAAGATAGTAATTTGAAGATAAATAGTCTGTGTTATATCCAATTGCACTACCATGATATAAAATATTTACCGAACCGTAACGCACTTCTGTGTCCAATAGATTTGGTGTTAACTATTGTGCCAACAACTATCAGATCTGACTCGAGATACATGTTGTGATATTGAAACCATCTAGCGAGATCGATAAATGACGACACCCGCGGCGGATATTGTCCCGGCATAATGTTTTGCGCCATTCGTCCATTTTTTATCCTAAGAACGCCACCTAAAGCTGCAAGACCAGACATAAAAGACAATATAAACATTTTTTGTCTATTTTTTTTAAACAAAATATAACTAGATTAGAATGTTTCTTACCAACAGTACAATTCTTTTTTTCACAATAACGTTTGTAAAGAATGCCTTGCATTATTGTTATATTATCTAAATTGGATTCGCGACCCTTGGCGCGCACTCTAAGAACATTACCATTTTTGCCCTTGCTGACAAAAAAGTTGCCTACAAAAGAGCACATTATTTGATAGAAGTCAGTTAACATTTCTCTTCTGCTCCGTCCGTTATCTGCGAAAGCGATGCGACTCGCGTTCGTGATAGGTGCTCTGTACACCGCGTTCATTATAAGCTACAACAGTAGTCGTGTTTATGAGAAATAAACATAAAGAGATAAGATAAGAATAAACTAATACTAATAAATTGTAACATATTATCACTATAGAATTAAAACAACGGTAGAGGAAAATAACAATAAATCAATAAAAATAATGCGCAATTCATCGCACAATTTATTATCTTTCTCTATTCTATTAATAGTAATATTATAATATTATTATCAGCCTTTTGCGTATATAAGAATATGTAATACATACGTGTCCGTTGTAAGGCATGTATGGCTTTGCGGCATAACCAGATCCGATGATGAAGGAATCGTAGGTGGTTAATGATAATATTTCCCGAAAATTCCATTTTGCGGTATCATACTGCGGAGTTGACATAAAGTTCGTATAATTACCGACTTCTATTATTGATGCATTGCCACTTAAACCTGTAGAATTTTATGGAAACTTGACTTCTTGATGAAATATTACGAATCTTAATTATTTAGATTTCTTACCTACTCCGGCAAGATTGAATGGTTCTCCGGTTAAACAAGGGCAGGCAGCTACGTCAATCGTCAACTTTTTAAACATGAATTTTATTTTA